TACTGTCTTCAGGGATGGGCATCCTGTGCCCTTCTAAGTCTGGTCTAAAATTTCTGTGGATGCATCTATTCAGGACTGGGCCAGATCAAAAATAATGCCTTTGTGATGGGGTGTGCTCAGAGCAAGCAAGTTTTAAGAGTGGCTCCTCTGTTTTCAACACATCCAAGAGAAATCTTTGTTTACTCCTCACAGGTGGGGGACCTTCTTGTGACATCATGCCCTATATGTGTATTCCAAGTAATGACTTTCCAAAGGGCCAATGGGAAATAGTACAGTGTTAGAAGTCAAGAACATGATCTGTGTATGGGGAATGAGTGTGGGATTGGTGGGTCTTGAAAAATACTTTTCTAGGAACTGTTTAGTATTTGACTTATAGGAGGATGCCATTGGGACTTAATAGTTCAATGACAGATGTGTTTGTTCAGATGCAACATTTGTTTCCTTTCTCTAAGGTACTTGGAGTACAAGAGGGTTCCCAACAGCAGACCACCTGAATATGAGTTCTTTTGGGGCCTGCGCTCTTACCATGAGACTAGCAAGATGAAAGTCCTTAAGTTTGCCTGCAAGGTAATAGAGCTTTGTATACTTGGCATATTAAGGAAATAGAATGACTGGCTGAAGCAGACTGTCTGTATTGATAGATATGTACAGGCCAACTGGTAGTTCATACACATACACACACATATAAAGCTTCAATTATGTCCCAGGATGCTGCTATATATATAGTTTACATGTTATCATTCATTCTTCACATTTTGTATTAACATGTTCTCACTGGCTTGAACTACTGGTGGTACATACATGACTGTCCCATGCATGACTGTATCACCTGTATAACCAGTAGTACAAGCTGTCCAATGGGACAGTCATGCATTTGCCATTAATAGTTCTAGTTGCCCAGCAGTGAGACATATAAATTATGGGCCATCATGAATGTGCTAATCATCTTAGGCTGCAATAACAAAATACAATAAACTTGGTGATTTAAAAAACGGAAATTTGATTTTTCACAGTTCTGGATGCTGAGAATCCCAGATCAAGAACCAGCATGGTAGGGTTCTGATGACAGGTTGCTGATGAGGGCTGTCCTCCTAGCATGAAGACAAATGCATTCTTACTGTGTCATCAGAGGGCAGAAAGCCCTGACTCTGGAAACCTATTGGATCAGGCCTTATTGTTATGACCTTATTTAACTGTAATTACTTTCATAAAGGACTTCTCTCCAAATATATTTATATTAGGGGTTGGATATTCAACACATAAATTTGGTAGAGACACAGATAATCAGACCATAATATAGTTTATCTCTTTATAACTCTTTAATTTTCATTATTATATGTTTGCAGTACATATGACTACATTCATCATGGGGAATTGGTACATGTATATATAACATATCGTAATTCTTTTTTACATCCCATTTCTTCTCCCTAACCTTTTCCCATATTATGAAGACATTTGGGCTTAGGGACACTAAGTGACTTATCCAAGCTCATGTCATATGTAAGTTACCAGAGCTGAAATTAGATTTGAGGACTGATCCATAATAAAGTCTCAATAAATAACACTTTTCTTAGAATTATTACTTCTAATAGGTGTTTAATACATAATCAAAAGGGTTATTTTTCTTATAATGGTTATAATTTCCAATTCAGGTACAGAAGAAAGACCCCAAGGACTGGGCTGCTCAGTATCGGGAAGCAGTGGAGATGGAAGTCCAAGCTGCAGCTGTAGCTGTGGCTGAGGCTGAGGCCAGGGCTGAGGCAAGAGCCCAAATGGGGATTGGAGAGGAAGCTGTGGCTGGGCCCTGGAACTGGGATGACATGGATATTGACTGCCTAACAAGGGAAGAGTTAGGTGATGATACACAGGCATGGAGCAGATTTTCGTTTGAAATTGAGGCTAGAGCCCAAGAAAATGCAGATGCCACCACCAATGTCAACTTCAGCCAAGAAGCTAGCACCAGGGATAGCTTTAGTGATGGTGCTAGTATTAGCTTCAATGGTGCACCCAGCTCTAGTGGTGGCTTTGGAGGTGGTATTACCTTTGGTGATGCACCCAGCACTAGTGCAAGCTTCAGCAGTGCAGCCAGCATTAGCTTTGGTGGCACACCTAGTACCAGTGCCAGCTTCAGCAGTATAGCCAGCATTAGTTTAGGTAGTGTACTCAGCACTAGCACTAGTTTCAGTGGTGGAGCTAGCATCAACTTTGGTGGGATGCCCAGTACCAGTGCCAGTTTTTGTAACACAGCCAGCATTACCTTTGGTGATACACCCAGTACTATCACTAGTTTCAGCGGTGGAGCCAGCATTAGTTTTGGTGGTGCACCCAGCACTAGCACTAGTTTCAGCAGTACTGCCAGCATTAGCTTTGGTGGTACATCCACCACTAGCACTAGTTTCAGTGGTGGCACTAGCATTAGCTTTGGTGGTGCACCCAACACAAGCACTAATTTCAATGGTGGATCAAACATTAGCTTTGGTAGTTCACCAAACACCAGCACTAGTTTCAGTAGTAGAGCGGGCATTAATTTCGATTGTGCACCTTGCACCAGTGCCAGTCTCAGTGCTGGAGCCAGCTCTAGCTTTGGAGACATACTCAACAGCACAACAGCTGGCTTCAGTGGTGTACTTAGTACCAGTACTAGTTTTGGCAGTGCATCCACCACAAACACTGTCTTCAGTGGTGCAGTTAACACCAGCACTGGCTTTGGAGGTACAGTTAGTACCAGTGTCTGCTTTGGTGGCTCTCCCACCTCTGGTTGCAGCTTTGGAGGCACACTCAGTACTAGTATCTGCTTTGGTGGCTGTCCTAGCACCAGCATACTTAGCACCAGTGTTTCCTTTGGTGGCTCTTCTAGTACCAGTTCTGACTTCAGTGGCACACTAAGCACCAGCATCTGCTTTGGTGGTTCGCCCAGCACTAGTGCCAACTTTGGTGGTGCACTAAACAGCAGTGCTGGCTTTGGTGGTGCAGTCAGCACCAGTGCTGGCTTTGGTGATGCTGCCAACACGAGTGCCAGCTTTGGCAGTACACACAACAGCAGTGCTGGCTTTGGCAGTGCCATCAATACTGGTGTCAGCTTTAGTGGTGCATTCAGCAGCAGTGCTGGCTTTAGCAGTGCCATCAACACAAGTGCTGGCTTTGATGGTGCTGTCAGTACTAGTACTGGCTTTGGCAGTGAACTCAATAGCAGTGCTAGCTTCGGCAGTGTCATCAGCACCAGTGCCAGCTTTGGTGGTGCACTTGGCAGCAGTTCTGGCTTTAATAGTATACTTAGTACTAGTACTGGCTTTGGCAGTGCTCTCAACACTAGTGCCAGCTTTGATGGAGCACTCAACACCAGTGCCAGCTTTGGTGGAGCTGTCAGCACCATTTCTGGCTTCAGTGGTATACCAAGCACCAATCCTGGCTTTGGCAGTACATTCATCACCAGTGCTGGCTTCAGTGGGGCACTCAGTACTACTACTGATTTTGGTGGTACTTCCAGCAGCAATATTGGCTTTGGTAGTGCTCCCAGCACCAGTGTCAGTTTTGATGGTGCTCACAGCACCAGTGTGTGTTTTGGTGGAGCTTCCAGCACCAACTTCTGCTTTGGCAGTGCATCTAACACAAGCCTATGCTTTAGTGGCTCTCCTAGCACCAGTGCCTCCTTCAGTTGTGCTACCAGCATCAGTTTTAGTGATGGACCAAGCACCAGTGCTAGTTTCAGTTTTGGTAATGGGTTAAATACCAGTACTGGATTTGGAAGGGGACTAAGCACCAGTGCTGGCTTTGGTGGCAGCCTAAGCACCACCACTGGCTTCAGTGGCAGCTTAGGAACCAGCACAACCTTTGATAGTGGCCTAGGCACTAATACTGACTTCAGTGGTGGACTAAGTACCAGTGCTGACTTTGGTGGTGGACTAAGTACTAGTGCTGGCTTTGGTGGTGGACTAGGTACCAGTGCTGACTTTGGTGGTGGACTAGGCACCATTGCTGGCTTTGGTGGCAGACTAGGCACCAGTGCTGGCTTTGGTGGTAGACTATGCACCAGCACTGGCTCAGGTGGTAGACTGGTCACTACTGATGGCTTTGGTTGTGGACTGGGTACCAGTGCTGGTTTTGGCAGCACACTTGGGACTTGTGCAAGCTTTAGTGGTGGCCTCAGTACCAGTGATGGCTTTGGCAGTGGGCCTAATGCCAGCTTCAACAGAGGACTGAGTACTATCATTAGTTTTGACAGTGGTTCCAACACCAGCACTGGTACCAGCTTCGGTAGTGGACCAGGTTCTGTTGTTGGCTTCAGTGGTGGACTAAGCACTGGTGCTGGCTTCTGCAGTGAACCAAGCATTGGTGGCTATGGTGGTGGACTGAGCACTGGAGCTAGCTCTGGTGGACCAAGCTCTGGAGCTGGCTTTGGTGGTGGACTGAGCACCAGTATTGGCTTCAGTGGTGGACCAAGCAGCAGTGCCGGCTTCAGTGGTGGACTGAACACCAGTGCAGGATTCAGCAGTGGACCGAGTACCAGTTCTGGATTCAGCGGTGGACCAAGCACTGGTGCTGGCTTTGGTGGTGGGGCCACTATCCTTGGTGCCTGTGGCTTCTCTTACAGCTAGTAAGACTTCAGGTAATTGCAATATTTCTATGGCTAACACTCAAGGTAATGGGTATAATATTCAGAGATATATGAAATAATCTTGGATTGGGATGCTTGAATGGGAAGATGAGTGATGAAGAAAGTATGAGAAAAGAGTATATTTGCTGGTAAAATGTGTTCTGGTTTGGTATTTTGTTTTCAGGTTCAGTGTTTACAGATATCACTAGTGAACTGCAGAATTTCTTCCCATGGAGCCAAGATACAGCCTTGGAATCTGTCCACACAGCATTCTGAGCAGCTACTACCAATCAGCTAAGGATGACACGCTACGAAAAATCTGTTTTCTTTTCTCACTCCATTGTTTGCCTTTGTGTGCTGTTGTATTTTGGTATCAGAGTTACATTAAATTTGCAAAATGAACTGCAATTGTTTTTCATTTTTTAATGTGATTAGGTAGTCATGAATGACATTTTGGTTTCATAGAAGAGCTAGAAATCAGCATAGTTTTTGGGAAATGTGGGGCTACAGCTTGAGTTCAAAAAGCAGGTATTTCTTCAGTGAAAGAGAGGCCTGAGAAAGCATGGCAGGCTAGGGCATAATAGCTTGGGAAAGCATGGAACAGATAGATGGTAAAAGGAGACAATTCAGAATAGTACAAGTATAGATTCATTGAGTAATATGCGTAAGAATGGAGGAACAAAAGGGGAGCTATTGAGGTAGATGTAGGGAAAAGGGAGGGTTTCCTTGAGATAGTAGAGAGACTTGAACATATTGTGTAGACTTGCACCAATGCCAATAGAGAGGACCAAGAGGTAGATATGGGAGAGTAAGGAATACGATGATGTAGTTTGAGAAGGTGGGGTGGGATAGGATGGCAGAGAATAGATGGTGACCCTAGATTTCAACAGGATTTAGGAGTGGTTTAGGAAATAAATACAAATCTACTTCAAGCACTGATTGGCAAACCTTTAATAGATCCTAACAAAAAAGGAGGCATGGATTACTCAAAGTTTGAATCTTGCTGGGTGGTTGTGAACAAAGGACAAGAGAACACAGAAATTGTGAATATTTTTACCACTGGGTCACTGGTACCTGATCTATATTTCATATATGGAGAGTGGCTGAAGAGACGGACCATAGGATCCAAACTGATTAGGGATGGACGAACACTGAGAAAGTAGAGAATGGGTTTGGGAGACAATAAAGAAATCAAAGGACTACACTCCTGATGTTGTAAAAGAACAATTACTGTTCTCATTAAAGAAATACCACATGCATGACTACCTTTGTAAGAACTCCTGGATAATAGTGGGATGCTTGTATTTAAGAAGTCAGCCCAGGATTATGATTCCAAGATCTGTTTGAGGTTAGGGGACTGGGAGGCCAGGTTTCTGGTTGTCATTCACATGGATAGTGAAATCATTCAAGATAGCAACAACTGTTGAAAAAGAGAACTTTGTATAAGTGCAAGATTCTCTGAGTATAAGGATGAGGGTGTCCTGCCCTCATTCACTTTGATAGTCAATCTTCTCCCTCATCTTTTGAGGTGCTACTCTCTTTTCTCTGGAAAGTCCTCACCCATTTACAGCACCAGAGCTAGGTCAAGATCAGGATCAGAATCTTGAAAACAGTAAGACAAACCTAAATGTGACCATTTCCTGTCCTCCAATAGGCAGTAAGAGAAGCCTTTTGATAAGAGAATAGGAATTAATAAAGTGTTTCATCCAGAGATAGGCAGCTTCTTATTTGTGTTTAAAAACACACCTGTCTTGGAGCTGCTAATGATTTCTTTACTAGAAGTAGTGTTCTTCCAATAAGGCAAAGGCCGGCATTTTCTTAAGGTATGAGAAAAGAAAGGATAAAAAAGCTCATAAAGATGGAAGACAGGACAGAGGCACTTTGATTCTTGGAAAGAGGTCAGTAATGGGCAGGAACAGTGTCCAGGGCTTCCTCAGGTTCCCGAGTGATGTCCACATTCTGAGAAGAAAGAGCCCTTGATTAATAGGAAGGAAATGGAAGTACAGGGTCCCAGTCCCTGCATTGCCTCTTGTCCTATCAGGCATCCATCTGTTAGTTAGCCTGACTCATTTCTCAGGCAGGTCTGGCGAAATGTGAGCCTGAAACCTTTTAGCCAAGGATTGTCCTAGCTCTTTGCCTCTTTGGTGCCCCAGGCCTAAGCTGTGTTCCTCAATTTTTGGATGCTGATTATTCCCATTGATGTGAAATACCTGGGATCTGTAGGGTTAAGTGGCCAGTCTATGGGGGAGGGTGCTTTTAACATGTGTTCACAGCCAACTTGTGTATGTACACAGCTCCTCACCTACCTCAGGCTTTTCCCGATGTGTGTTCACAGCCTCCACATTCAGGTAAATGGACTCCATTTTGCAGCCTTGGAAAAAAACAACCCATGTGTCTATAAGTCCCCAAGGTAGGCACAGGTCTTCCCTGAAATGCCTTCCCTATCACCATCCATACCACAAGTTCTATGTTATGCCCAGATTATGTCTGTCAGCAGGGAGGAGATTGCAGGTGAGCTGTGTAATGTGTGGGGAAGATGCCAGGAATCCACCCAGCTCTGCCCTGACTTCTCTGAGATTCAGCTGCTCAGTTGTATGTGGGGAAATCAATGAGGAGATAATTTCTTTGGCCTCTGTCAACTCTCATGGCCTGTAAGACAATGATCTAATCTAAAACCATTAGAACTCTGGATGCTCCAAACTGTTGTATGTGCAGAACAGGTGGAAGAGTTCTGGGCCACTGCCTTGGCCCATGAAGCTTTACTTAGAGGACAGTATGGATCCAGCAACATCAGAAGCGTGGAGGCCACAAGGGAATTCTGAGAAGCAGAGGAGACTCAATTACTTACAGAAGCCCCTTTAGATCAATCCCTGTGGACTGTACCCAGTTACAGGCTTCAGTAGGCCATTATGCCCTAATCATACCTCAGACTAGATTTGATTCTGTTCTTTCTCTGCTCATGAACCTTTCATAGCTAACTAATGTCATGAGAGAATCTAAATTGCCTAGATTGGTCTTTGAGTTCTTCAATATGGCTCCAATCTACAATTTTCCTACAGTCTCATTCAGGGCTCTCTCTTTGACAGCTTAATATTCTGTATTAAGTGCTCTGGCAGAGACAGAAAATTGGAGCTAAGCCATCTGGCAATCCTAGTTCTCCCCTGATGTCCTAAATCCTACTTCCACCATCAACCACCTACTCAGGGAACATCTTTTACACCTCTGCTTGACAAATGACATGTTCATAGCCTCTATATGTCTTAGATGAGGTTGGGGGTACTCACCATAAGCCACAGGAGTGAGTTTAAGCACTGTGTGCAGAGGGCACTTGAGATAGGGCAGCTCATCTGGAAAAGAGAAAGAAAGCTCACAGAGACACAGTACTGGAAAGGGTAGCACTTTCCCTGTTTCCATCTTCCCTTTTCCAAGTGGGCCTCACCAGAGACCCACATACTTCAGTCTGCAAAGGGCAGTGCTAAAAGAAATCTGGGCAGGGAGAAATATTGCAGCCAGGTTGACCTGGAAGCAGGAAGGAAAGATATTGAGCAAAATGGGCAAGTTGAAGGTCCATGGGAGCATCAGGGAGGTCATGTGGAGATGGCTGCCTCCTCATTCTCAGACCCAACAGGAAACCAAGGAAGGCTTCCCTCCTACTCCAGCCCAGGCCTTTCACGTATACCACCAGCATCACCACTACCACCACCACCAAAAAGGCCCAAATATTTTTGTTAAATATTTATTGAGAATATGATGTGTACCAGTTCCATAGCAGAAGTGTACATGGTATGTAACCACATCCAAAGCATTGTCCCTGGCCTAGGGTAGCTTTATATAATCCCTCTCTCACATATTCACGACAAGCATTGGTTGATTCACTGTTTTCTAGTTATTGACTGTCATGCAGAAAGTTGCAGTGTTTTCAATATTCATGTACAATTTTTTTCCTAGTCCCACTGTCCCACTGAATTAACAGATATCTTTGAGAGGAGGGGGTGATTAGGCCCGAGATATGGATGAGGAAACTGGGACTTCAAGAGGAAAGGCACTGGTTCAAAGTCACGTAGTCAAGAAGTGGCAGTACAAGGACTCTAACAGAGGATTTTCTCAGGATAAGATGTCTGCTCCACCTTAACAGTCTAAAACTGCTACCATGAAGGTAACATAATGTCATGGGAATGACATACCTACCTACTGGGTACTTTCTCCTTATTCCCTCTGTCCCCCTACCCAGGTTGCAACACAGCTCTCTATTTCCCTTAATTTAGCTAGAATATCACTTGTTGTTGCTATCTGTCACTTGGACTCATCCTAGGCTTACCAAGCTTGCCATCAGCCCCTCAGCTCCTGAGACATAGCCATTTTTCTAGGCATCCATCCTGCTCCTTCTCATCTTTATCATCATCAGCCAAGGGCTTCCTGTGTATGATGCCAGTGAATCTTTACAGATGTGCTATGGTCCTGTCTACTGTCACTGTCCATGTGAGGGAAGAGACTCAGGGAAAGGAGGGCAACTTTTTGAGATCTCTGTAATAGACTGTTACTGCCTCAACTAGTAACAATGTCCCAGCCATTTCTCTCAGTTTCACAACTCTGACTTTTATCTTATAGGACAGAATTGGACTAGGTATATCTGAGACTGCCCCAGATCTGTTGTTGTGTGGGTCTACATTCCCAATCATATCATCTCCTTGGGCCTAGTGCTATTATTCACCTAAATAGTGGGGTAAGACCATATTTCCAATCCCACCCTGCCTTGTTCCAAGGACAAGTGTGAGCAGCTGGGATGACCTGTGTCTAAAAGTTGGAAGGAAGTAGAGAAAGAAAAAAGTACCTTTGCTTGCCTCATACTCTACAAATATTTGAGAGGGGAAAGCCTCTGGCATGCACCTCAGATGTACTCTGATTCCTTACACTCTGAGTCCCATGACCTTGGGCAATTCACTTCACTTCTCTGGGCCTTAACTTTTTCATCTGGACAGTAGAAATTTTAGTATCTGCCTTGTTGTCTCAAAAAATTGTCCTGAGAAGTGGAGATGTGAACCTAAAAGAAATCTGGCAGTGCAAATAATCCTACTGCACATCCCACCACTGATTTCCAGGGAGAAAACTGAGGACCAGAAAGAGAAAATGACTTATCCAATGGTGTGTCCTCAATTTCCCTGGGTTCCAATTCTGGATATCTCTATATTATGAATGCTTTTTATTTTAAAACCAGCATCATAAGACCCAAGATTTTAGAATGTTGTAGGCATTGAATGTCATTTTACATTGTCCTCAAATACCTTCAAGACAACCTGGAAATGGAAATATTTCAGCAGCTATATTAAAAATGGATTTTCATATGTGAAGATGAGACAATAGTCCCTTGCCAGACTACCTGCCCTAGTTTTCAGTTTACTGAATAGAGTTAGTGCATAGATACTCTATAAATACAATATCTAGATTTTTTAATGACCATTTAAAAAACTGAACTGAAACATCACTATCTTACATTAATCCTCCAGAAAAGACAGAAACCTATAATTAGGATAATAAGGGTGTAGAAACCATTCTGTATGATAGTATCAAGTTTGAGGGTATAGGCAACTACTTTGAAGGCAATAAGATTCACTAAGATGCCCATTCTGGTTTGACTATTGTCTCCTTTGGAAGTCCTGTAATGTTTACAATGCCTAAGTTTTATTGGTCTTGTTCTCTACTGTTTTGTTCAACTTTATAATATCTAATGAGATAGACAATTCTTTTTAAGGAAACAAGAGACATTGTTGATAACCATTGTTGATAACCTTGTACTCTGTTTTATATCATGTGCTATGTCTATCCTTGGTTTTGACTGACAGCTTTGTTTTGCCATATTTGACTTTATTCTCTCCCCCCCAAAAAATTAATAAGAACTAAGGAGTAATAAAATCCAAAATGTGTAAATTTTGTTGTAAAAAAGAGAGGGGAAAAAAAGAGCTCTAATGGATATAACAGCAAGTGTGTTTAGGGGTGTTAAATAGCTGACTATATTAATGTTTTTGGATCATTGAACACAGCTGTTTGCAGTCTCTCTGTTTGAATGTCCACTTTGTATTCTTTGATACTGTGATTTGAGCAACTATTTCTAAGATGATAATATGTAATCTATTAACAGGTGATTTCTTACTGTTTTTTTTTTTTTGTAGTTCTGTATTACGTGTACCCTTACGCCGCTTTGTTTTGTTTTGTGTTTTTCTCTTTTTCCTTTTAAATAAAATTTAAAAAAAAAAAACAACCTTGAAAAAAAAAAAAGAAAGTTGCACTATCACCTCAGGATAGCATGCTTCAGAGACATACTGACTCAGCATTTTAGACCAAGGCAAACTATTGAGGCTGGCTTTGAAAATATTACAGAATAATACTAATAATAGCAGTTAACATTTAGATAGCCCATCTGATGTATCATGAACTGTCCTAAGCTCTATATATGTTGTTTCAGCTTGATCATTCTTCTCCAAGTTTTACAGATGGAGAAACAAAAGCCAGAAAGAGAGTTGCAGTACATTGTCAAATGTAGTAAAGTTAGTATATAACAAAGAGTTGGAATTTAAACAGTCTCATTTTAGATACATTTTTTTAATGAGATGGGATCTTTCTGTGTAGTCTAGGGCTGGCCTGAGGCATGCTCTGCAGCTAAGGCTCTCCAGGAAATTGTGACCTTCCTGCCTCAACATCCCAAGTATTGGGATTATAATATTGTGCCACCTGACTCATACTGTATATCTGATTTTTAATCCCTGAGATATAAACTTCTAACTGCTGGATTCAGGATGTCAAATCACATCTAGTACTTCATGTCAGGAACAACGAGGAAGGTGTTACCTGAACTTTTATCCAGGAAGTAGGCCAGAAGGCATCGCATGACAGCCTGGTGGCAGATCACCAATACATTCTCCTGTCGCTCTAACTCCATTATAACTGGTTCCAGACGCTGAACCAGATCTTCATAGGACTAGATATGAGAAAAACACTAGAGTAAGAAAGAGACATGGGGACAGGAAGAACTCTGGCCTAGGAATCAGGAAAACTTGATTCTGGGACCAGCTGAGTTACTGACTCAGGAAACAACTCACTTCTTTCTTATAGTCTCAGTTTCTCATTTGTTAAACAGGGGCAATCAATACAGTAAGCTAAATGACAATAAATCTGCTCACTATAAGATGTCTTCATTTTTTGGCATACTGGTTGGTTATGTTATTAATGATAATGATGAAACAAAACTTTAATAAAATTAATGCTGCCATTCAATTTTCTACAGTAGAGGAGACTTACTTTATTGCTATAATTGAGAGAATCTGGAAATATATATCTGGGTGTATATATACATATTGACACAAGATGTTTTCTTTTTTGTCTATATAATTGAACTGCTGACATTTTAAAAGAATAAAAAAAATTTTATGACTATATGGTTCTAAAATGAAAAACTTGGAAAAAGGAGTAATTAGTGGACATAGAAGCCATACCACTTTGGGAGGGTAAGGCAGGAGGATCATGAGTTCAAGCCTAGCCTGGGCAACTTAGTGACTTAGGAGACCCTATCTCAAAAGATAGATAGATAGACAGACAGACAGACAGATACACAGATAAAGTTGGGGACATAGTTTAGTGTGAAGGTCCTGGGTTTAATTCTCAGTACCCCAAAAACAAGAGAGAAACAAGATATTATCAAATATATGCCACAGACTTGAAAAAGAGTTACGAATTTGAGAAATGAAAAATATACTCATTGAAATTGAAAACTAAATGAAGGGCATAAACAGCATATTATATATCACTTAAGAAATAGTGAATCAGAAGAAATACAGCAGAAAGTGCCTGCATTCGCCTCCCCATTCCAGCTGTGCTTGGAGAACTGTGAAGTTCTAAGCAAGTAGGCTGGCATCCACTTTCCATGGAGCCCAGCCTGATTGGGACCCTTGCACTGTGTGGGTGCAGTGGAACAGCTAGGTGGGTCTGGGGTGCCTGCATCCACCTCCCTGTGTGTCTGGAGGACTGTGGAGTTCTAAGCAAGCAGGCAAGCACCACCAGTTCCAGAGGCCTGTCATCCTGGGGTAAGTGCCCTGCGAACTTTCCCCTGAGCCCAGCTTGTTCAGGACCCTCAAGCCTTCCGGGTGCAGTGGAACAGCTAGGTGGGTCTGAGGCACCTGCATCCACCTCCCCATTCTGGCTGTGCTCAGAGAACTGTGGAGTTCTAAGCAAGCAGGTAGGTGCCCACATTCCTCGAAGCTCAGCCTGTTTGGGACCTTCACACCTTCTGGGTGCAGTGGAAAAGCTAGGCGGTCTGGGGCACCTGAATCCACCTCCCTGTGTGTCTGGAGGACTGTGGAATTCTAAGCAAGCAGGCGAGCACCACTGGTTCCAGAAGCCCTGCATCCTAGGGTAAGTGACACGTGCACTTTTCCCTGAGCCCAGCTTGTTCGGGACCCTAGAGGCTTCCAGGTGCAGTGGAATAGGTAGGTAGGTCTGAGGTGCCTGCATCCATCTCCCTGTTCTGGCTGTGCTTAGAGAACTGTGGAGTTCTAAGCAAGCAGGTGGGTGCCCACATTCCCCAGAGCCCAGCTTGTATGGGACTGTGGAGTTCTAAGCAAGCAGGAGAGTGCCACCGGTTCCAGAGGCCCGGCAGCCCGGGGGAACTGGGTGCCAGAGAACCAGGAGCTGCGAGCATCGAAGTGGATTTCCAACAGAACCTGAAGAAGCTTTTGAATAACACTTGAAACACAGAAATACAGGAAAATGACAAAACGAAAAACCAAATTACAATCCCAACCATCCAGCCCACCCCAAGAAAACTTAGGAGCGATGTATATAGAAGAAAATATATTCCATACACCTCTAATATCAAACATCATAGCAACTGAAATAAACAAGCAACTCCAGGAAGCTTTAAAGGAATTCAAACTAGAAATAATCTCCCAGGTAAAAGAAGAAATGATAAAGAAATTAAAGAGATGATGAACCTATCTAAAGAAGACACAGTTAAAAAGCTGGAGGAACTAAACAAAAAGATAGAATCCGTAGATGAGCAATATAAGAAACAAACAGAATACATAAAGCAGATGCACAGAGATATACAGGAAATCAAAAATTCCACTGAAAGCTGTAAATACCACCTCAATGAAAGTGAAGATAGAATTTCAGACCTTGAAGACAGGATTGCAGCTAGCGAACAGGAAAGGAAAGATCTTTTAGAAATAACAAAGAATCAGGAAATAACAATTCAACAACTGCAAGATGACGCAAAGAAAAACAACATAAGATTGATAGGGATTAATCAAAAAGAAGGGGATGACATAAAGGATGTCGAGAGGATATTTAGAGGAGTTAACAGCTGAAAATTTCCCAACCATGAGATCAGAAACCGACATTAGGTTCAGTGAAGCATACAGAACTCCAAATAGTTATAAGTAAAATAAAACTAGATCCAGATATATAATAATCACCATCCCAGAAATCCAACACAAGAATAGATTATTAAAAGCTGTCAGAGAGAAAAGACAGATCACTTATAAAGGAAAACCTATCAGAATCACAGTAGACTTCTCAGCACAAACAATAAAGTCAAGAAGAGCATGGAGTGAAGTATTCCAGATCCTAAAGCAAAATGATTTCCAACCTAGACTGATGCACCGTGCAAAACTATCATTCAAAATCAATGGTGAAATAAGATTCTTCCACGACAAAGAACAGCTGAAGAACTTCATGATCACCAAACCAACCCTGAAAAAAATATTGAAGGACAGTTTAGACACACAAAGGAAAAAAACACTAAGGAAAGTAGATAAATAAACAGAACAGAAAGATAAAAATGCAACAGCAGAAAGTAAAATGTCAACAATAAACCAACACATAACAGTTATAGCCATTAATGTAAATGGTCTCAATGCGCCAATAAAAATGCGCCAATAAAAACAGACTAGCAGAATGGATCAAGAAACAAAATCCAACCATAAGCTGTTTAAAGGGAACCCATCTAACCTAGAAGGATACTCACAGACTGAAAGGCAAAGGATGAAAAATAATACTTCACACAACAGGAATCCAAAAAAAGCAGGAGTAGCCATTCTGTTTGCAGACAATGTGAACTTTAAACCAATAATGATCAGAAGAGACAAAGAAGGTCATTACATACTCATTGGGGGAAAACTCCAAGAGGAAGAGATAACTATTTAAATATATATGCACCAAATTCCAGAGCACCCAGTTATATAAAACAAGTATTACCAGAAATGAAAAATCAAACTATAAGTAACACAGTTGTAACAGGAGACCTTAACATGCCATTGACACCAAAAGGACAGATCAACCAGACAGGAAATGAGCAAAGAAATAACAGAACTGAATCACACCTGTGAACAAATGGACTTGATAGACATATACAGAGTGTTCCATCCACCATCAGAATACACATTCCTCTCACCAGTACATGGGTTATTCTCTAAAATAGATGATATATTAGCTCACAGAACATATATAAGTAAATGCAAAAGAGTTGAAATTATCCATTGCATGTTATCGGATCATAGGGCTTTGAAATTAGAAATTAATGATAAAACATACTGCAAAAATCCCACAAACACATCGAAACTGAATAACACACTCTTGTGTAATCAGTGGGTCACAGGGGAATTTAAAGAAGAAATCAAACAATACCTATAAGAAAATGAAAATACAGATACAACTTAAGAGAATCTGTGGGATACAATGAAAGCCATCCGCAGAAGAAAATTTATTGCACTGAGTTCCCACATCAGGAACACAGAACAAATACAAATAAATAACCTGTTGCTACACCCGAAACAGCTAGAAAAAGAAGAGCAAGTGAAGCCCAAAGCCAAAAGAAGAGAAAAAATTATAAAAATCAGAGCAGAACTCAATTCAATAGAGACTAAGAAAACAATCCAATAAATCAGTAAATCAAATAGTTGGTTCTTTGAAAGAATAAATAAAATTGATAAGCCCCTAGCCAGTCTTATTATAAAAAGGCATGAAAAACTTCAAATTCATGCAATAACAAATAAAAAAGGTGGGGGCTGGCGATTTAGCTCAGCAGCATAAGCGCCTGCCTTGCAAGCAGGCAGTTGTGAGTTCGATCTCTGGTACCGATAAAAAGGAAAAAGGCAAATAAATAAATAAATAAATAAAAAGGTGAAATCACTACAGACTCTATAGAAATACAGAAGATCACCAACACCTATTTCCAAAACCTCTACTCTCAAAGGTTTGATAACAAAGAAGAAATAGACAGATACCTAGAAACATATGAAGTGCCAAAGCTAGGTCAAGAGGATGTAAAATTGCTGAATAACCCAATCTCTATTAATGAAATTGAACATGCAATTAAGTCCTTACCTACAAAGAAGAGTCCAGGCCGAGACAAATTCACTGCAGAATTCTACAAGAAAAACAAAGACCTAATGCCAACACTCTTCAAACTCTTAAATGAAATTGAAAGGGAAGCAATCCTTCCTAAGTCCCTCTTGCAAGCAAATATTACTCTAGTACCAAAACCTGAGAAAGACCCAACTAAAAAAGAGAACTATAGACCAATTTCCCTAATTAACAGAGATGCAAAAATCCTCAACAAAATATTGGCAAATAGGATGCAGCAAATCATCTAGAAGATTATACACCATGACCAAGTGAGATTCATCGCATGTATGCAGGGATGGTTTAACATACGTAAATCAATAAATGTAATCCTCCATATCAATAAAGTGAAAAGTAAGAAGAACATGATCATCTCTATAGATGCAGAAAAAGCTTTCGATAAGGTCCAACATTCATTCATGATAAGAACTTTACAGAATTTACAGATTTTACAGAACTTTACAATTTTACAGAAAATTGGAATAGATGCTCTTTACCTCAATATAAAAACAGCCATCTACAACAAACCAACAGCTAATATCATACTCAATGGACAGAAACTGAAGGCCTTTACTTTAAAAT